CATATAGATAGGTAATATGTGCTTAGGTACTCTACCCTATACACAGATGATATGATATGCTATATATTACCATATAGATAGGTAATATGTGCTTATGTACTCTACCCTATACACAGATGATATGCCCTTTTACACTCTACCCTATGCACAGCTGATATGTGCTTATACACCATTCCTATGATACATTGGAGAGCTGACCTTGGCCTCTGGCTTCCTGTCTGGCTAGGTCAACAAGGTGACCTACTTTCAAGGTGATACTACTACTCTATTCTCATGTCCCTACCCTTCCACACAGGTTGCAGTTTGGGATGCCATTTTAAGCAAGCCCAAATGCAAAAATCCATTGTGGTGTATACAGGACAGCTTGCATTATACATGGTAGGTAGGAGGTACTCTCATCCAGTGCTTGTGGCCAACCCCATCTCATAACCTGGTAGATCTTCCCTGTCCTTCAATAGCACCCCTAAACCTCATCTAAGCTGCTCATCAGATATTGTGCTAATTAATCAGCAAAGGGGTCAGTATGTATTTCTGATCTCCCTCAACGAGTTTGTCCCAGGCAAAGCACAGGTTGGTTCTTTTGATCTCTTGCCTTCCATTCTGCCAAGCAATTCCATTCTCATGACAGGCCAAGAACAAAGGAAGAAGGGTTGATCCAAGTCTAGTGGACATCAGGACCATAGATACAACAGTGACCTAGAGGCAAGAGCACTTGAGAGCTGAAGCAAGAGCTTCCTGTGTCAGATGGGAATTTAGTCCAGCCAGCATACTGAAGCATCCTGTCAGGCCAGCCACAGGGTTGAGTGCTGAAGAGACAGAGCTGACCAGCAATTTGCCTTCTTCATGAAGTTCTCAAAGAAGGGAAGCCTTCATGTGGTTGCCTAGTTATGCCTTTGGATTGCCTGGGTACTATTGCCTCCAATTGTCCTGCCGGTCTTCACATCTCCATTTCAGAACCTTAGTAGCCCTTGATGTTAGGAATGGCATACAAGCATCATATTGTAATTAGCTCACCCTTTTATGTTTGATACTGAATTGTTGACTGAAGAATATGAGAGTCAGAAGAGCTGTGTTGAAGACACCTTTCCACCTGCCAGATGTGGGTTTACATATACTCAGGAAATACTCACTAGATGCTGTGTATTCATGGCTCCAGGCTCTGAAGGGCCACATTGCTGCTTGTATGCACTTGAAATGGTATCTGGAGGGAACAGTGTATGAGCTGTGCCTACACAGATAGGTACAAGCGGGGTAAATAAAAACAAAACTTGCTGGACTTAGGAAAGCACCGGGAACCATCTTTAAGCTCTCATTTCCTCATTTGCAACATGGAAATTAGACTACAGGTTGAATTTGATCATGCACATGTTAAATGCAACACCCTGGGAACTCCGCTACTAAAGAGGTGACATCGACCATTGCTGTCAGAGTCACAGCTCAGCTAGAGAAACAAATCCTTACCTGGGCCACGTGGTCATTCAGAGCTATGTGTATACAGAGCTGTGTGTATGCTGGGTAGATCACAGCCCAGGCATTCCTGTTCTCTGCCGTTTCCCACACCCCTCCTTCCACAGCGCTGCTTCCAGCTCTGTTTCTGTCTCTCTTTCTGCTGGCATGTTGGTGACTACAGGAAGATGGGCTTTTGTTCCTCTTGATGGAGGCCGTAGAGCATTCAGCAGGGATCTGTGCATGGTCAGATGTGCAGTAAAGTCCTGAGTTGTTACAGAAGTGAGTAAAAAGGCATAATGGCTCCAAGAAGGGAGCGGATTCTGACTGTGAGAAGAGCAAAAAAACTTTTGGAAGCTCCGCGTGGTGACACTGGCAACCCCAGCATTCAGGAGCTCAGGCAGAAGGAAGGATTGTGAGTTCGAGGACAGCCTGAACTACATGGTGAAATTGATGACAGCCTAGATTACACAGCAAGATCTTGCCAATAATAATAATCATAGTAATGGGAACAACATAGAATGCTTTGAGAGCTAGAGGATAGGTCAGTGAGAAACGCACTTGGCTGTAAAGGCATGGGGCCTGGAGGAGAATCCCCAGAGCTCACATAGACCCAAGCACAGTAGCTGCATCTATAATCTTGGTGAGAAGAGGGAGGGGTGAAGCTCTCAGGCCAGCTAGCCTGGCATGCGCAGTGGCAAACACCAAACAGGGGACCTTGTTTCAAAACAAGGCAGAAGGCAAGGACCAACGCCCAAGGTTGACTTCTGACTTCTACCCAGGAGCCCTGGTGTGTGTACACAATACATCACATACATGCACATGCACGCATGCAGGCACCCCCACAGATTGCTTTGTTGTTGTTGTTTTGTTTTTTATTTTATTTTTTTCTTGAGACAGGGTTTCTCTGTAGCCCTGGCTGCTGAGGAGCTCACTCTATAGACCAGGCTGGCCTAGTCACAGGATTTTTTGGTTTTTGGTTGTTTTTTTTTTTTTTTTTTTTCGGGTTTTTTTGTTTTTTTTTTTGTTTTTTTTTTTGTTTTTTTTTTTAAGACAGGGTTTCTCTGTGTAGCTTTGAAGCCTATCCTGGAACTCGCTTCACAGGATGTTTTTTAAAGGGCAAGAAGAAAACGTTTTGTAGAAAATTTACAACCTTCTATCTGGTGGGATTTCTTCATACTACAAGCAGTTTATGCAAAACAGATGCCTGAAGAGCCGTGCATGCACACACCTGTGGGCTCTGTGGTTATATTTCATTTTCTTCCTCTTCCAGTTCTTGCAGACAACCTGAAATCCAACCCTGGAATCAAGTGGCAGTATTTCAGCTCGGAGGAAGGAATTTTCACTGTCTTCCCAGCACACAAGTTCCGGTGTAAGGGCAGCTATGAGCATCGCAGTCGGTATGCTGACGTCCTGCGGAGGTCACTTGTTGCTGACGGCCATCTGCATGGCGGGGTGGGCTGTGACTCTGGGGAGAGAGTCTGCCCAGTCTGGGCCGGACCCCAGACTTCAACCCCAGCAGTGAGTTCCACACACGGTTCTGCCCCAAGCCGTTCAGAAACCTTTCCTTGCTGGAAAATGTCTACATTTGATGCAGATGGGCATCCCTGCACTAGGGCAGAGTGATGATGCAAAGCCCAGAGCTTTCCCACAGCTGTCTATCACACCAAGCAGAGCTGTGGGAAGGAAAGACAGTGGCTTGATGCATTTACTGTTCTGTGCCGGGAACACCTTTGTTGAAATAGACATGGCGGCACTTTCTCCACAGCTTGACCATAGAGCGTCAAGATGTAATTGCCCTAAAGTTTGTGGCTGATTTTCCTTTCTGGGACAATGGGTTTGGTTTGACACTTTTGAAGTTTACATGTACACTTCAGACACCACAAGCTCTAAGGTTACTCACAGAGCTTTGGATTAAAGGTCACCATTATCCAGCTTTTCTCACACCAAAATGACTTGGTTGTACCATGTAGCCAGAGGGAAAGGCCTGGTAAGATCATTTGTAAAACAAGGCTCATCAACTTACAGAAGGCCCTAGGCAAAGATGGACTCCTTTGAGCCCCAACAGGTTCCCTTGGCAGTGCCAGGTATGGGTGCCTGGAGGTAGTGGGAGATGCCTATTCTCCATGACCTCCAAACAATCACCAAAGTATCCCTTCATCCTTCCTTCAGATTGTATCCAAGATTTTTCCCAAAGTAAAGGGAAGGAGAGGAAGGAAGGAGAGAAAATTGTTATTATTTGTATGGTTTTTCTGCCATTCTTTCCCTAGATATTCTGGTACAGTTATATGCCGTGAAGACTGGACCAGAAATCATGGCTTTGGTATCTAGCTCATTGGTTCTCAACACCCCTAATGCTGGGACCCTTTACTATATAGCTCCTCATTTGTGGTGATCTCAGCTATAAAATTTATTCTTGTTGCTACTTCATAACTGTAATTTTGCTACTGTAGTGAATCATAGCGTGGATATCGGTGGTTTCCAATGGTCTTAGGCGACCCCCATGAAAGGGTCAGTCAACACCCCCACGCATACTCAAAGGGTCGCGAGACCTATAGGTTGAGAACCACCGAACTAGTTGGGGGACGCAAAGACTGACTTTTGCTCCTGAGGAAACCAATTAAATGGCCCGCTGCCTCAGCTCGTGGGAGGGAGGGCAGGGTCTCATCACTATTCAACCTTCATCTGCAAGTTCCAGCTCGAGCCTGCCTAGAATGAAGCTGACTCTTTGGCTGCGTGACCATGTTTCCCGCCTCATAGATTGCCAGTCCTGCCTCTTGACTTGTCTTAACTGGTTGCCTTTGCAAACTCTCTAGAACCCGTCGAAGACTCCAGTGGGTTTCAGAGCACAGCACATGAGAAAGGAACCAATCAAGCTCTGAGGTTGCCTCCCAGTTTATCCATGGAACGTACAAGGCTATTTATACGTCCCCCTGAAGCCACTTTAGATAAAGCTGCTGGGCTTTTCATTGGGTGAATTCAGTTAGGACAAAGGCAGTACATCATTTTAAGAAAAATCCTCTCCCCTAGTTAAAAGAACACGCACGCACGCACGCACGCACGCACGCACGCACGCACGCACGCATGCAAGGAACATCCAACCTGGTGTCAGTGTAGGGCTGGCCAGGAGGTCCTACTGTTCTGTTCCTGGTTCTTCATGAGGCCACCTACCCTGGTCTCTTTTATCTCATCTCCCTGCTGGCTCAGTGGTACTGACTGGGGAACTGCTAAGGCAGTCTCAATACAAGACTTTTGACTTGCCAACAGCTAGTGTAAACTTGGCCAGATTTTAAGGTTGTTTTTTTTTTTTTTTTTGTTTTTGTTTTTTTTTTTTTGGTACTTGGGCTACATTTCTTGTGCCCAGGCTTTTGTGACTCACAGGCAGCTCACATTTCCCAGAAAATTCTAGTTTTAAAGGTGTCAATAATGGACGGGATTCTCTTGAGGCCGATTTGCTTTCTGAAACCACCCCTAATTTGTTCCAGGTTTAAAATGAATAGAGAGCTCATTAACCCTCTTCTTTCCACCCCTCCTGGTCCACGCAGCAGCGGCGGAGGCTGCTTTGATCAGAGGCATTTATTTCCCCTCCATGACTTCTGCATTCCCCTGATTCTTCAGGTCGGCCAACAAGCACCTGGCGGAAAGGGTGGCTGATGCAGGTTTAGACAAATTTTGATGACATGGTTTGAGATGCTCGGCTCAGGAGCGTTTTGGTGGCTGGTCTGTATGAGTCACTGAGACATAGAGAGGAAAGGGAGGCTCCCTGAACCAGGGGTGTATATATGTGAAGAGAAAGGCCAACCTGCCATCTAGAACTGCCCAGCATATGCCCAGGTCACAGGCTAGCTTACTGCTAGAAAAACATCATCTGTATGTCTGCAAGACAGACGCCAACTCTAGCAAGTGGGCCTTGTTCTCCCTTTGGACCAAGTCTCTAGAGCCTGAGGGGCCAGCAGTTCACTCCCCAAAGCAGAATGAGTGAGTGGAAAGCCTGGACCCTGTAGAAGTGAGCTGGGACTTTCAAGTGTGTGGAAGAAGTCAGCCTCTCAGAAGGTGTGCTCACGTCTTTAAAGTCGGAATTTCACGGTCCCGTTCTTTTCAATGCCCCTCCCCCTTCCATTCTGAACTCACTTCCACCTGCGCCCCCCCCCCCTAGAAGAACCCATACACCCTGGGGAGCCCACACATCTGTAGTGTTCACAGCTGTGTTAACACCCTTTTCCTTTCTCTAGGCCCATATATGTCTCTACTGTCCGGCCGCAGTCCAAGCACATAGTCGTGATCCTAGACCATGGGGCCTCAGTCACTGACACCCAGCTCCAGATTGCCAAGGATGCTGCTCAGGTCATTCTCCGTGCCATTGATGAACATGATAAGGTGATTATTATCCCAGTATCCCTTTGGGGCATGAAAGCTGTCTTGAATATTTCCAACACTTATTTTTGTTTTATTATATTCAGTCAGAGGCATCATAGTGACATCTCTGTCACCAGTGGACCAGATGGCACCAGTGTGTCCATACCATTGTCGTGTAGCCCGAGTGTTGTGACGTTTCCATCACCAAAGACCTTTTCTCTAACCTCATCGCTGAAAATGCACAGAGACCACACTACTCCCTACGCTGGTCTCCAGTATGAAAACCAAGATGGGCAGCTTTTGCCATCATTTTTTCCTGCATGAATTTAGGGATGTTTTTGTTGTTTTAAGTATTATATGCAAACACTGTGCTGCTACTTCTTTTTGGCTCAAAGGCCAGATTCTTGGGTTCTCTTCTTTCCAAATTCTTTTCAAATTTGACAGGTTGATGACTTCGGGCATTTATTTTTAAAGTCAGAACCTGTTCTATAGGCCTTCTCCCAAGTGAGGCTTCCCTGCTACCTGAACATCCAAGCCTGGGCACTGTGGCTGAGGCAGGAGAACTATGTGAACCCAAGAGTTTGCGGTCAACAATAATAACATGAGGAAGACTTTGCCTCAAACAAACAAAATAAAACTTTAAATAGTAGAGGAAAAGGTCATCAGGTGTTTTTTCTGTCCTCCAGATTTCTGTGTTGACTGTGGCAGACGCCGTCAGGACATGCTCACTGGACCAGTGCTATAAGACATACCTATCCCCGGCCACCAGTGAGACAAAAAGGAAAATGTCCACCTTTGTTAGCAGTGTGAAGCCTTCTGACAGCCCTACCCAGCATGCAGTGGGGTTTCACAGAGCATTCCAGTTGATTCGAAGCACCAGCAATAACACTCGGTTCCAATCAAGTAAGTGCACTTATGAGAGATGGCCACGGTAATGGGCTGGTTGCATAGTTCAAAACTAGAGGGGAAACTTTCCAACTGATTTCAGATAAAATTATCATGTGCTATCTTCATGGCCATCTAATGAGTGTTCTCATCTTTTCCATCTTACCATGGTCAGTCTGGGGGACTTCTAGACTCCCAGAGCCTCCTCTTCCTGCCCCTTTATTAAGAACACATCCTCACTTATTTCCCAAGGGAATAGCCACATCCTCTTTAATGTTAATTGTTGGCTTTGCCTCTCTGTGGGCTTGGGGCAGTTCCGTGCTGGTGTACATGTGCTCCGGAGGGGACAACAAGGATTCTTGCCTTGATCCCTCCTTTCTAACCAGCTGTCATTTAGATGAGCACACCCTTCCCATGTACAAAGGCACTCTAATTTAATTTCCGTGTGTTAGAGAAAAATCTGGAATAAGGATGCATGCTAAAGGAAGGAAAAGTGTAGTTGAAATAGGACTCTGCTTTGAAACTTTTCAAAGGATTCTTTTATTTCTCCTTTTACACTTAAAAATCTGTAGCCATTTTTCTTTATTTAAAAAATTTAATGCATCCTGTTTTGGGTTGGGTTTTGCTTGCTTGCTTTCCTTTGTTTCTCTTTCTTTCTTTCTTGTACTAATCAGAATCTAAAACTTTCGTCCACGGTACGGTCCTTTTTCACTGCCTCGGTAGATCCATAAGGAATACCATTAACCTTTTAGGTTGTTTCTTATGTGTTTGTTTGGGTGTGGTGTTTGGGAATCATCTCATAGCAAGAGGAGAGTGATTTCAAGGGTAGATCTGATTGTATGTGCAGGGCTCAAATTTGAATTGTTTTTTCCTCTGATGTTATTTCCAAGACATGCTAGTTAGATACTTAAAGAGAGAGTCCCAGAGTCCCCAAATCCCTAAAATTAGCCACCTCTAACTTTACCAGTGTTATACATCCCCACCAGTGGGTGACTCCGAGAATACAGTAAACAAAGAGCCAAGTCAGAACAAACCTAATAAAACTGTCACATGAGCACCCCAGACTGGGACTCAGCTCACTTCCTTGTTCAGCCAGCATCAGAGAAGCTTCCTCTTGCAGGAGATGGAAACAAATACAGAGACCACAACTGGACAATGTGCAGAGAGTGAGAGACCTTGGAACACTCAGTCCTAAATGGGGTGTCTTCATCATCCCTAACCAAGACACTATCTCCAATTGACATCTACTTGTAAAAGAAAAAATGATTTTCCCTACTGGATGTATTAAACACACTTAAGGGTGGGCCCCATGACCAGCAGTAGATAGCTAACACAAAGTTAATGGTATTTTTATAGACTTTTTGTCTCATGTTCAAATGTTTGGGAGTTTTTTGTCTTACTGATCTTTTGTTTGTATATTATGGTTTCAGATTTTGTGTTTTATGGTGTGTGTGTGTGTGTGTGTGTGTGTGTGTGTGTGTGTGTGTGTGTGTGTTTCTTGTGCTTTTTCTTTCTTTTTTTTCTTTTCTTTTTTTTTATTTGAGGGGGTGGTTTGTTGTGGGATGTCTTTCTGTATGTTGTGAATATACGCTGTTCTCACTGGTTAGTAAATAAAGTTGTTTTGGCCTATGGCAAGAAACTTACAGCCAGGTGGGAAATCCAAGTAGAGATATAGAGAGAAGGGCAGAGTCAGGGGAGACACCAAACGCTGTCCAAGGAGCAACATGTAATGCAGGTAAAGCCACAGAACACGTGGTGATACATAGATTAATAGAAATGGATTAATTTAAGATGAAAGAGATAGCTAGCAAGAAGCCTGCCATAGGCCACACAATTGGTAATTGATATAAGCCTCTGAGTGATTATTTTATAAGCAACTGTGGCACCTCAGGGCCAAGTAGGACACAGGAAAACTTCCAGCTACAGTCATTTTCTTTTTTTGTTGTTATTGTTTTGTTTTTCAAAACAGGGTTTCTCTGTGTAACCCTAGCTGTCCTGAAACTTCCTCTGTAGACTAAGTGGACCTTGAACTCCCAGAGATCCACCTGCTTCTGCCTCCCAAGTGCTAGGATTAAAAGCTTTGGTCACCACCACCTAGCTGTGCTTTTTCTTTTTTTTATCCTGGTTTATTTGTTTTTTGTTTGCCTGTTTGTTTTCTAAAGCAAAAGAGAAAGAAAAGGTATGGAATTGGATGGGTAGGGAGGAATTGGGAGAAGAGAAACCAGATCAAAATAAATTATATGAAAAAAATGTTTCATATATATATATATATATATATATATATATATATATATATATGTATGTATGTTAACTACCAATGGAAAAACAACTTCAGTTTTGCTTGGTTGAGGACTAGGTGATAATGTAATAGGGTTTGGGCAGACCTAGTAAGAATTTTGCAAAATAATTTTTGTGGGATGAAAATAAACTGTGCCCAGGTAGTAAAGGAAGCTAAGGGCTTGGGCCTTGTACCTTTCCAGTCATGGCCCCTGCTCTACAACCGCCCCCAAGGACATTCACAGAGGCAGTGGGCAAAATTCAAATCAAAAGGGTTCTGTTTAGGGGCCAGTCCAGGTACATCCCAGAATTTATCACCAATAGGACCTTTGCCAAGAAGAGATGGTTTCCCTCATACTGTGTGAGCTTGTGATACAGCTGTATCCCCGCCAGTAAGAATAGGAACTATTTCATGCTGTGGTTTGTTTGACATTTAGTTTTAGTGTGAAGCTTAAGTAAGATATTTCAGACTCTAGTAAAGTAATATACAGGAATATAGTAACAACTGAGAAAATATTGACATCTAGTATTAATGTGGGAATTTTCCTAAAACTTAAGGATTTTTATTTTTACATCAGCCTTCACCTCCTGATTTCCAATGACATTTACATTTGCAGTCAGGAAAGTCCAAGCATCCTATTTGGCTTTGCTAGTAGTAAAGAGGATGTATTTGTTATTAGTCCAACTTTTCTAAATTCAGTTTGGTTATCTATAGCATTGATCCTACATAAGTTATTACTCTGTGCGTAGCAATAAACACTTCAAAACCTAAAGTGGAACTTTACAAACTTCAAGAATTGTATATCTCTGTGAGGATAATTTTAATGGCAACTGTATTTATTACATATTGCTTTGTAACACAACCATAACACCATCACCTTTGATGATGTTAAATCCCAATTTCCCTCAGAAGGTAGCTTCCCAAGGGCACCCATGTCATGAGATAGTTCATAAAGCAACTAGGCTGCCTGCCATGGTTACTCTAAAGTAGCCCCAGTGAAATGATAGCAGCAGGACCCAGAGGAATGCATGTGTATACACGTATTTCTGTACACAGGGATAAGATTCCCTATAGTGTGTCCAAAAGCCATCTATTGACCCAAAGGCCTTTGTGTTAGAAAGCAATCTAGAAACCCAGCTCTCTTTCATCCCTTCCTTGTTACCCATAGAGGTAGGCAGTCCACTATCCCCATCCCCCTTCCGTCTCCCTCCGTGTGTCTCTGTGTGAATGCACCTCTGCAGCGCTCCGGGACAACACAGCAGCGTGCAGCCGATGTGCAGCCACTCTGCGGCAAAACTGCACCGTGCGGCAACAGAGCAGGAACCTGGCAGCAACCCATGCCAGAGATGGATGGCAGGATGTCTCCTCAGTCGCTCCTTTTCCTTATTTTTTGATGACGGAGTCTCTCAGTGAACTTAGAGCTTGTCCTCCTGACCAGAATGGCTTAACCAATAAGCTCCCAAGATGCACCTGTGTTTACCTGCCAGCCCTGGGATTGTCGTTATATACCACCTCCCCTGGCTTTGAAGTGTTACCTTGGAAGTACACTTCACCCATTGAGCTGTCTCCCCAGGCCCGCCACTCTTTCTCTTGAGTCAGTCCACTTTGGCGAAGGACTTCTCACTCAGTTACAATTACTTCTCGCTCACTCCTTGGCCTGATTTGGAGGGTGGTTTGAATTAAAATCACAAGTCATCCCCAGACCGATCAAGGAGTGCACACCCATGCGTGTTGAGGCTTCTTTCTCACATACCGCCCGCCCTCTTGGGCCATCACCCTCTTGTTTGCCTACCCATTCATTCAGTTGACCAGTCATCATTCCTCCCAGCAGCTTCTTGAAGTTGGTACGGGTATCTGTCCCGTTTTCTGGACATTTCTCCAACTGTACATATGAAGAGATGACTACCTTTGCCTACATGACCCAGACACACTAAGCAGTTTATAGTAGCAGTTTAGAGCACATGGTGCTTCTGCATCCATAATTTGGCTTTGCTACACTGATAAGCTTTCCAAATCAAACTGTATTTGTCGGGAGTTGGGGTCTGGCAAATCATTTTTCATGTTTGCAAAGCCCTAAAAGAACCTCCACTTTAAAGCCATGTCTGTTCCCCCCCTCCCCCAAAGTGTGGCTCCTGTTAATGGCCCTGTATGACTGGGGAAGGGATAAGCTGTATTCTGAATCCTCATTTCAGAAGCTGGGGAGATTTCCTTTTAGGCTGGCTTAAATGAACACAGCGTGGGTGCCTGGAGGAAATCGCTGTCTTTCATCTGGTAAATGTGTCAGGAGCGTCTTGCGCTGGATAAGTGAGGCCTTGCTGTCCAGAGAGCCCAGGATGGAAGGGAAAAGGAATTAGCAAGATGAAAGCCAGCGCATCCATCGCATGGGAAAGGCTCAGGACACAAGGGGCCAGCCAGGTCCTTTGGGTGGGGAAGTCTGGGAAAACTACAGAGCTCCCTCTAACCAGAATCTGAATGTAACCTCGGTTTGTGTGTTTTTGTTTAGATACAGACATGGTCATTATTTACCTGTCAGCGGGCATCACATCAAAGGACTCCTCCGAAGAAGATAAAAAGGCAACTCTCCGCGTCATCAATGAAGAAAATGGCTTTCTGAACAACTCCGTAATGATTCTTACCTATGCCCTCATGAATGGTAGGCAGTGCTTCCAGATTTTCCTTTCAGATGAAAGTTCCTTCTAACCGTAGCTGCTTAAGAAAGAGAAAGAGAGGCCGGTGCCCTGCTTTGATGATGCTATCAGGCAAGGCCCCAGCAGCTCTTCGTACCCAGGGCTGGGCTGCGTGACCTTGCCTAGCCAAACGCTGGTTCCTGACTCTCCTCTGCTTCTGTGGTCTGGCAGTTTTGCATCCCTCTCCTTTTTCCAGTTCTCCTCTGTATCCTAAGTCATCAGAGGTTTGGATACTGCAGGGAGCTTGATACTCACAGATCCCGTGAGTTGCAGGAAGCCATAGCGCTGTCCTAGAGGCTCGCCTTCTCAAGCATACTGATAGCCTAATTCTCCGCAGAACCATACCTGAGCCTGAACCAGCTTCCTCGGCTGTCCAATGCAGGTCTCAAGGACCTGCTGTGCAGGCCTGTCAAGAGGGTTGGCCTTTCTAGACATCACACACTTGGAGCAGCCCTGGGGTATTATAGCCAGTTTTCATTGAAATACTAGTTTCGCTGCTACATGTTGGTAGATGGGTTTAGAAAATTGGAATATTTGAAGGACGACTCCACACTCACCTTTCTGCTACCCACCTGTCCTCCAGCATGTGGACAGCCCTGGTTTATGCCTCTGTGGTGTGGTGCCACCACACCTATTTGTATGTGGCTTTTCTCTCCATGGATCTCCCCCTCAGGGCCTCAGCCTGGGTACTTGGATGCTATCTTCCCTTGTGGCTGAGAGACAGGGGAATGCAGCCAGTCCCATTTAGGAGCTCTGTACACTCGACCCCACCCCATACCCCATGCTGATTTCGGGACAATGGTTATTATCAGTTTGATGTTCTAAGGGTTATGTGGAGAATGCCCCCAAAATGTAAATCCTAGATATTGTTCTTAGGAGGGACCCAGGAATCTGTTCTTCTGGAGTTAGACTGGGCCTATGCCTTATGGACCACCCTGAGGAGGTACAGGTTCACCACAGGCTGCCACAGTTGTAGCCACCGTTCGCCAGCATGGGCTCATGGCAAGATTCTTCCTCTCTTTAGACCTCAACTTTTTGTTTTCCCAGGCAACAGCTCATTATGTAGCCCAAACTATGTAGCTCAGGCTAGCCTCAAACATGAGGCCCTGCTTCAGCCTCCTGCATGCTGAGGTGGCAGGTGTGTGCCAGCTCAAGACCTCTCTTTTATCTATGAGGTGAGGATAATCAACTCGACTGCATAGTATAAAAAGTAACAGGATGAGCAGGGTGGTGGTGGCGGCGGTGCATGCCTTCAATCCCAGCACTCGGGAGGCAGAGCCAGGTGGATCTCTGTGAGTTCAAGGTCAGTCTGGTCTACAGAGTGAGGTCCAGGACAGGCACCGAAACTACACAGAGAAACCCCGTCT